TGGGGTATAAAATACACTCCAAACTTGGCCTAATCTAAAATCAGGAGGCAAGCCAGGCCCTTGTAAAGTCTCCCTTGTCCTGGCATTTGGACCGGCATCCAGGAATGGCTCTCAGTGGACCTCAGCCAGGCCAGGGCCAGGGCAGCCTGGTGGGGGTGACAATCCTGAATTCCTGTGGCCATTAGAGACCTGTGGCAGCAGCACCTGGCTGCGATCATGGACACCAAGGAAGCTGGTAGTCAGGCAGAGCAGGAGGCAGATGAGAATGGCAACAAAGGAAGAGTCTGACAAGGAAATTTCAGTAGGAAACAAGCAATTACATGAGAAGAAACACTCCTAATGCTGCGCACAATCATCTGAACACATGACAGGGATGGTTCAAACAATAGTCAAAAACTAAAAGCTGCAATGACATGAGAAAAAATAGACTTCCTGGGGTAAAGCTGTGGCCCTGCCCTTATCCTAAGTCTGACTGTGTGTGTGTGTGTGTGTGTGTGTGTGTGTGTGTGTGTGTGTGTGTGTGTGTGTCTGTACCCATACACATGCATGCACCTTTTAAAACATGAGTTTTGATTTAGAAGTTGGATCTCTTTCCCCTGCAGTTGGATCCACTTCTGCACAAACACATTTCCATCCCCCAGGCAGTGAGGAAATAGTGAACCAGACAAGAAGAGAGGTCCCTGGACCTGCTGCAGCTGCAGTCTGAGGATTGCTGGAAAATGCATAGCCCAGGAAGAAAGACCCCCTCCCAGTGTGGAGTTTGCTGTCTGGTTCAGAGCAGAAATTAGGGCCACAGTGAGGAATCTGGGAAGGAACCGGTCTGCCAGGAGCCAAACTGAGCAGGACGCACCAGCTGTCCTTTCCCTTCCCCCAGATTCATGGCACAGGAAAGTAAGGTCCTACGGGCCAGAGGGATGAGTCGAAGGGAAATGAATGTGAGTTTCTGCATCCTGGCTCCACTGAGGGATGTCATTGTCACTGATCTACAGCCTCCATAGCATTAATAGCTGTCAGTCAGGTCTAGCCCTGCTGGAAGGAGGCCCCCAAACACCAGAGACCACCCGAGAGACTGACAGCATGCCTCAGGGTTTGCACATGGAAGTGGGCAGCCATGCTGTTATAGGCTGATGACTTATTTTTTCTCTAGTCAACTACTGGCTGCCGCCCCTCTTTATTCCTCTTCTGCAGAAACCCTTGGTCTTCTCCCAGGTCTCACCCAAGTCAAGGCCTGATTTGCCTTGACTTGAGGGTAGCATTGCTGCTAAAAGTCAGAGTGAGCTGCCACAACTAGCAGCCAAATTTGGATTCCCAGTGGCCTCGTGCTGGCCTTGAGAGGGAGCACTGACCCCTGATGAATCCAGTTAATTCTGTGGCACCCACTCATTTTGTCCCTGGGCCACATTGTGAAATAACTGCTTGGGTCTTGGCATGCAGTCCTCCTACCCTTTCAGATGGTGGATTCAATCATCTAGGCAAAAAGGCAGTCACCCAGACCTGTAGGAAGTCTCCAAGGAGCGTGGCAGCCAAGTATAAACTAAGGCCCTGTGGCCATCCTCCTCTGTTCCCCATCCATTCACTGGTACAAATAGTGACCATGGGGGCTTATGTAGGCCATTAAAGAACCCAACAGGGATGAGAGAATGGCTAAAGCCCTTCAGAAGGAGCTCTTGTTTTCCTTCTAATTTTCCCTCTTGCAAGGAAATCTAATGGTACTTCTGGGTTGTGACTGTTTCTTCACCTTTAAGTCCTACCCCATGGTATTCAGAGAAGCCCTGGCCCTGGACCCCACTGGTCATCTGATGGAAGGGCTTCCCAAAGGCAGGCCCTGGACCCTCAGGGGAAACCTGCTTGAAGGCACGTGACATTAGGTATTAGACTGTTGGAGGGGGCAATAAGAACTTTCCCAGAACTTACAACTACAGAATTCTTACCAGAATTCTGAATTCCTCACTATAAGCCCCCATTGGCCAGCCCTGGAACTCAGGTGACAGGAAGGTCATCCTAATTAAAACCAGGTGGCAGGGTTTCAGCTGTGAAAAACTTCTAAACCCTTTCTTTCTTCCCACCTCCTCCTTCTCTCCTTAAACACACACATACAACGTTCCCTCCCTTTATTTAAGCAAGCAGTTCTCTCTGTGATTAAGTACAGCCCCTTCTTATCTAAATAGTCCACAGATGTACAGAGATGTGGGAGCTTGCTGCCCCTATTTGGAACTTCTTCTGGTACCCATCTTCTCCAAACCTACAAAAAGCTTTACTGGGCTTTTGCTGAGAGAAATTCCCACTGCCTGCTCCCCCAGTAAATCAGCACTGCTTGCCAGGCTATACTGAACTAGCAAATAGGTGGGATTTCCCCCCAAAGACTGTAGTCAGCCCGCCTGGCTTGGCTCCTCCCATAACCTGAGTTTGAAATTGCCCAGAAGTGAACAAATGGAATAGGAGAAATCTCAATTGTGTTGTCAGATTCCTGTATTACTTTAGCTGTGCAGGTAAATGCCACCAGTTGCTTTATTCCACCTAGCCCTGTTGGGGGCTGGGGCTGGAGAAATCTGGAAAAGGACAGAGGTTGGAATGTTAATTTGATGTAGAGAAAAGTGGAAAAAAATGGAATCTGTGAGTTTCCAAAATAAGTAGAGTCTGAAGGGAAAGAGGCAAGCCCGGAGGGGCTGGAATCTAGGGCTGGTGGTATAGCTTAGAGGTAGGACGCTTGTCTAGCATAAAATGAAATCCAAGGCTCAGTGGTAACTGCCCAACAAGCTCAAGGACCTGGCTTCAAAGATTAGTCCCCAGTGTTGTGTTTGTACTGGTTCCAATTCTCTGGTCTGATTTTCTTTTCCAATCGAAGCATAGTTCATGTTTTCAGCCTTGTGTCTAGATCCCAGGGACGGCATTATTACAACAGGGCAAGGACACTACAGAGCCTAAGAGAGCGTTTTGACCCATGTGTGCTTTGAAGATAAGCAGCTGTCAGCCTCACCCTGGAGCTCATTAGAAATGCAGAAATGCCTCTCCTGGGACCTATGAATTAGAATCTTCATTTAACACCAGTCTCTAAGTGACTTGTGTTTGTACTTGTGCTTGTCTCTTTGGAGAGGCAAAAGTACCCAACTATACAAAAAAGAGTAAAGCACTATCTCCGCCTTTTTATAACTTACTTCAGTTGACAAATACCTAGTAAAAATAACTCACAGAATTTTGTACAGGGCTGAAGCAATATGGTGGTATACAGGAGGCAAAGGAAGATACCAAAATAACCTGCTACATCTCATCCTCAAACCATATTTGTCCTGTTAGAATATTTTGCAAAGTAAAGTGTGTGAACAGGGCACTGAAAACCTAAGCGCAGTCAACAAAAGTTCAAGTAGTGCCCTTCCCAAACTTTCCTGATCTGCATCCTTGGGGTGAAGCTGGGAGCTGAATGTGGGCATGACCTGTAGACACGGATGCACATCTTCTTTCCCATGGTTGTTGGTGATGGCTGCAGCAGCTTTCTCTTCCCCTGGAGCACATGTGGATTGCTGCGCCCACTGTGGGGAGCGAGCCTTGGACGGTAAGAGCAACCTACCCCAGAGGACACTGTGGACCACATCATGCATCACGTACTGCTTCTTGGTAGGGAGGCACCTGTCAGGCCCACAGAGAGGCACACAGTGCAACTGGAGGCCAAGCCCACTGCTTGGCAAGCTGCTGGCATCCCTAGGCATGAGGCCAAGCAGCCCTGCTGCCAAGTGCCAGTACAAAGTCATGAGCTGGAGCTGAGGTGCCTTTGCACATACTTCATTATCTTTATGCAGATTTAAATAAAATATATAGATATATAGATATATATATATATCTATATATATATCAAAAAAGCAATGGGAAATGATGGATCATGGTGGTGGGGCTTCAGTTGAGGTGACAATCAATCCATAGTCAGTCTAAACTGCAGAGGCAGGTAGATCAGCACCTGGAAATCTGTGCCAGAGCAGACTTCAATAGACCCTTCCACGTTGTCACGTTTGGGGTAGTTTGGGGATACTTACTCACTTTGAGGGGAAACTGCTAGTTTCTCAGGTTCAAAGGTACTTTATTAATCAATGAACTGCATTGATGAAATTATCTCAACTAAATATCACTGTAAGAATTCCTAGGACAGGCCAGTGACATAGATCAGCAGGCTAAGCACCTGCTTAGGCAAGCACAGGGCCTGGGTTCGATCCCTGGTACCACATCCCATGCCAGCCACATCCCCAGGTGTACTAAGCTGCCCATGGGGACTGGGCATGGTGGCACCCACCTATAATCCCAGAACTGGGGAGGCTGAAAACAGAAGAATCACTGTGAGTCCAATCTGCACAGTGAGACCCTGAACCAAAATACATTTAAAAAAAAAAAAAAAAAAAGAATTCCTAGGACAAAATGCCAGTAACCTAGCAGGAAGCAACCTCGCCACTGTAGAGCACACCTCTCAGTATCCAAAGGGAAGCAAGTAACGTCTGCCTCCAGAGCTGGAGCTGGAGGTCCCCATGGGAAGTCCTTCCTGTGTGACATCTTAGATTCCTTGTCCATAAAGCATGCAGACATGAACTTCTTCAAGGTCTCACAAAAGTCAAAGCTCCAAACACTAATGAGTTGAGTTGTCCTGTTTTAACTGCTAATTTGAACCTTGAGTTGAGCCCGAGGAGCAAGAGCATCTGAAACCAGAAACGTGGAAAAGGAACTTGGGCAGGGCTGAAAACAACATTCTTGTACAGCAACTATTTAACCTTCTCTCTGATCTGAAACGCACCAGGAGAAACACTTCAGGCAGCTCTTCCAGAGCAGATAGCAAACAGGGAGGGAGGTCAGGGGGCTTGGGGTCCTCTTGGGTCCGCCCGTCCCTGCCACCCAGTCATCATGTGAACACCATTCAGCAGGAGCCAAAAGACACCACTGAAACAACTCGGGTGGGGCGTTGGGTGGATGAGGGTGAGTGGTGTACGGTGGGTGGGGGCAGTGAGTCACAACTCATATAATCATCGATCAATTGAGTGATTTTAGTCAAGTGAATACATGGCAGGAAAAGCATGAAAATAAAATGAACACATATGGGAATTACTATTAACATAAGTGATAACATCAAAACATCTGGTAAAATGCAGTTAAAAAAACAACACAAATGCAATGGAATGTAAAACATTTTCACAGTATTCAAAGCTTTTGTACAAGACTAAAATTCTAAAAGAGTGAATTACTACTACATGAAGGAACTAGAGGAAATGGGAATTTCAACCATGTCCTATGTATCTGCTGGTGACAAGTCAAGGCAGCTGGGCTGTCATTTCAGGGATGTTTCCTAAGGTATGCTTCCAAAGCAGGCCATCTGCACTTGAACACATCTACAGAGCCACAGCACAGTGACCAGTTACATAGAGTGTGATGGGATAAACAGATCCTGGCCTTGGGAAACAGAATCTGTGTAATTTACTGATCCAAATAGAAACTGGTTTCTGCTCTGGGGAGTACTTGGTCCTAATGCACCAATACCAAGAGCCAAGTGTTACACAAGATAGTTTTAAATAGTGCTCTTGGATTTTCACCTCGCAATCTATCTTCTAAGATAACTATGAATATTCTTCAAGGATTTAGTGGAGTTCTGCCAGTGGCTTCCTATAGACCTCTCCAGAGTGTTCATTTTACAGCTTTGCAAATCCAACATTTGCGCTATCAAAAATTATCACATGACATGTGACCCTCCTCTTTTGGAAAGCAATGGCCAAGCCAATGAGTCTGCACATTGGTTTTGTTACATCCTTTGTTGAGAACAACAAAGGTTAGTGATAATACGGCTTTGGGCTCTTTTCATCCCGAAACTGCTGATGTAGAAGGGGCAGAGCTGGTGTCTAAAATCATCAGTGAAAGACACAGTAAAACTTAATAGCCAACAACTCTGAGGCTGGGATGAAACCTGTAGCTGTGACTCACATTCCCAATGCCATGGGGCCCTTGCTGAAACTGCTGCTTACTGCTGAGAATTTTCCCTCAAAGAGCTGCACAGCACGGCCACCCATTCCCACACTCCTTCTATACAACTACCACTCTATACCCTCTCTTCAGGGCCCTGCTGTGGAATGCATTTCGTCAAGATAAACAGCTATGTATGTGCACTGCATTCTTAACTTACTGAAACTAAAACCCAGCTCACACAGTCATGAGACTGCATCTCAGCTGGATGACAGGAAAGCAGACTATCTAATTACTAAATATATATATACACATTTGAAAATCATCTAAAATAACAGACAAATCATAGAGAATCCCCAATACTTATAATTAAATGTGAGAGGACAAAAAAGGTGGTAAAGTGATTGGACTGCTAGTTGCGCGCAGTTCATTGCATCAGGATAGCTCTCAGGTAGGTAACTAAGTGGGAGGATGATTTCCAGATGAGTATCTCAGGTTGATGATCTTTTTCTGTTTCTGTGTCAGTCCAGGCCACAAGGGAATAGCTACCAGCCTTACTGCCACGTCGGACTTAGGCCTCAACACTCCCCCAGGGGAACAATTACTAAGGCCCTTGAGATGTGACAGAAAATAGAAAATCAGGCTTTGACAGAAGACATTAACATTAATTGTTCAGAACACTTCCTCCGTATTGGACAAAAGGAGCAAAGCTGTCTAAGAGAACTAGTTTATTTACATTACTTCTTAACGTAATGGCTTTGCGGAATACCTGCAGGTACTTGGGAAAGCCACAGAAAGTTTACCTCCAAAGCTCTCTTCTTGGATAGGGTTTCTGTGTCAACTTCCCCACTGCAGACATAGAAAACTAAACAGTGGAGGGGGCCAGGCAAGCAGGGTACTCTGAATCTCTGATCTGGGGGCCACCAAGCTAAAAAGAACTGGCCTCTTCACAGGGAGCAAGAGATGGGAAGTGCTGCAAAATTGTCCTGGGTATACCGGCTCCCGGGCTCCTGAGACTGCTCGAAGGGAGAGTCCACAGCTGCCTCATGCTGCTAGAAGAAGCCACCTCCCCTAAAAAATGCCCAGGGTAACAGGAGGGTTCCCCCCAACCCAGGAGCAGTCAGAAGTAGTCCAAGACACCTTGATCTTGGTTTGCCCTTCAAATGTTCAAAACAGATTTTCTTATAAATCTTGAAAAGGAAGTGTGTTCTTGTCTTGCTGCTGTTCTTTTTTAAAATGTGAAATGAATAAACAAGTACAATTAGAACACAAAGCTCTTCACCTAATTTCACAATTCACCCTGGCTAGTAATTTGCTTGGCTCTTTTACTTTTTTTAAGCTTCTTTTCCTTCTTTAGTTGTCTTTGGAAGGCTACTAACAAACTCCTCTCCCTAAAAATGCTCCTGTCCCTCCTACCCTGTGTTCCTCCTCCTTTGCAGCCCTCTAAGTATCTGGAGGGAGGCCATGCACAGGACTGACGGGAGCCACGGTGAGCCACAGGTGGGCTCCAAGGCCTCAGCAGGCAGGGATCTCCTCTTGCTGCATGTGTGCTCTGAATCTCTGCACTTGTTACTTTCTGAACTTTTCTTATACAGTAAGCATAGGTGCATCTGTTCCTAGCTAACACAGACAGAAAGAGACATTACTCTGAAACTGAAAGTGATGGGATTCACCAACAGCTAGAACACACTAGTTCCAAAGGCACAGGTTAGCCAGTAGATTCATAAGCAATTTGTAACAACACTGAGATGATGCAACACTTAGTTTCTGATGTCCGAGCCCTCTTTTCTGAAAATGGGACTTGTCCAGAAACTTTCTCTTTTAGTGACTGCATCCCTGGGGGCAACACTCTGCCCCATCACACCATGCCCGCCATGCCCCGCTGCCTCTGTCCAAAGCCTTCCTAAACCAAGTGGCCTTCCTTGCCTGACCTGTCTATTCTGGGGTGGGGGGGGAGACGTGAGGAAGGGGCTGGGTGGGGGAGCTGAGAGAACAAAGCTAGCCAGTCATAGTGCCCACACCACTGCACTAGCAGGAGCAGCGTGTGTGACCACGGGCTGCCCCTCACCCACCCACGTTGCTCCCTTCCCACCCACCCTGGAAATCACTTAAAGACTGACTGAAAAGTGGGGCACTCATGGTTCTTCATCTTCTTCATGAAGTTTTTGAATTCCTTGTTCTTCTTGTCCCACTTGTGAATAGCCGTGAGCAGGTACTGGCCCTTCACCTTTCGGCCCATGATGAGGAAGTGGGGACTCAGGTTATCCAGCTGGTGGCATGGGCAGTCGGCCCCATTCTTCAGGAATAGCACCAGCCTCTTCAGGTCCTTCTTTTTGATGGGTCCCAACTTCAGGGGCTTCTTCTTCTTCGGGACAATCTTCTTGTCACCATTTTCTTTCTTCACTTCTTTTATTTTCATCCTCAGAGCTAGAGAAGTGGGGGCAGAGAAGGAGGGAAGGAAAGAGAAGAGACAGCATTTTAGAACACAGTTTTTCATCTGAAACACAACCTGCACCTCTGGTTCAAGTGGAGAGTCACAGGAATGGAGGCAGCAGGTGCCAGAGGGAGGGGGCCTCCTGAACAGAACACTGAAGTCTGCAGTGCTGACTCTGCAGTGTCTAACAGCGCCCCAGGAGTCACCACAGATTTTCAAACCAATTGTCAAAACCAAATCATATTTCTCCTTCATAAAACTCAGTGATGCAGAATATTACACAATGCTATAGAAGGAGGGGGCTTGTCCAATTTAATCCCTATCATGTCAGGCTATAAATTCCAGAACTCAAAAAAAAAAAAAAAAAAAAAAAAACCTGGTATTTTTTAAAGAGAAAGTTAGTGCCTTAGTTTTTGAACATTCAATATTCCTTGAGAGCCGGGCCCCATGGACAAGGCAGACTGAATCTAGGCAGACACTCAGCAGAGAGAAGTCACTGAGGACTTATGCCTGCTGCACCTGAGTGTGTGGAACAGCACAGTGCAGCCTCAGCCTGCGGAACTCCCAGCACTGCATCCCCAGGACACTGGACAGCAGGGACTGTGAACCCTGTGAGCACTCAGCTAGCAGCCACCAACAGGCTACAGCAGAGGAGACCCACGCAGAATTCAACTTCCTGGCTGGTTAGAGAAAGTCCTAATCTCTACATCCAGGCAATGACCATTCTTCATGTCTAACATAGTAGTAGGAAGGCCACTTCTGTTAGCCCAACCCACTGAGGACAGAAGTCTGGTGCACCCACTGGCTTTGCTTCTGATTTTCTCTACAGACTCTGTGTTGACCTTTTTTTCCCAGTGCTGGGAATCAAGTCCTAGCCATGTAGATAAATGCCCTACCCTTGAACTGGACCTCAGCCCTAACATTATTTTTAAGCTGCAGACCAGATCTTTTGATGATGGCCTCACTGGGCCTACTGAATTAGCTTATGCTTCTTCAAGCTAGAGAGTGTTGCTGTTACCACGGATGCCCTTCTAAGATGGGGCAATTCCAGGTATTCGGGAATTGGAAGTCATTTTCCCAGATGCCCATCACCAAATAATTTGTATATTATCTCCAGATTCTTCTGAATTAATTCTCCTGAGTTCTTCTGAATTATTCTTTTTTCAATAACTCAGGGTTTCCACCCACGCTACATGAGGAAGCTCTTGAATTTGAACCACATAAGAGCTAACCATTACGAAAGCTTGTAGTATGCCAGTAAATCTGCTAAATATTTTTCCATGCTTCTTCTCAATTAACTCTAATAACTCCATGAGAAAGATGTAACTATTTTCTCCATCTAACAGATGAGAAATCTGAGGTTTACAGAGTTAAAATGACTTGCCCCAGGTTATCAATCCTAAACCCACATGTGTGATTCAGCTTTCCATTACGATAGCAAATGACAAGGCAATACATTTATAAGGAAGAAAGGTAGATTTTGGATCACAGTTTGAGTCCATGATTGAGTGCTCTGTCACTTTGGGCCTGTGGAAAGACAAGACATCATGGCTGGAAATCATGCTAGAACAAGCTGTCAGCTCAAAGCAGGTGGAAAGGAGAGAGAGACAGGAGGGGGCCAGGGCACCATCATCCTCTTTGGGGTCATACTGCCAGTGCCTAATTCCTCTTACTAGGCTCTGTTACCTTCCAGCATTGCCACATGCTGTGAATCACACTTTAATAGTGAGCCAGTTAAGGGACGCTTCTCCAAACCCTAATGCCACGTCTGAATGTAATTTTAAACACTGTGTTGTCCTTGCTGATTCTGTGGTTCCATAATTCTTTATCTACATGTACTCCAGACTTAAAGCAGTCATTGAATGGACCAAGGCAAAAAGGGAGAGAAACTCAGACCCTCCTCCCAGTTTCACTCATATTAAGAAATGACTTCTCTCATGAAATGTCAAAGGGTTCCTGGCACCACGAGAGACTACTCTAAAAAAGGCAGAACAGCAGTGCAAAGCCTTTGCATCTGATATGTAGTTGCTTAGAAAACCACACTTTTGGCTGACCCATAAAGAGTAAGGCAAAAATCCTAGGAGCAACCTTCAATGAATGTGTCAGTCACTAAATTAAACACTTTCCTAAGTTACTAAATTAAATACTCTTCTACTGCTCTCGTTTTCTGATGAAAGGAGGCCCAGATCCCAAATCCTGCTTAACTCAAGCCCTATATAATACCCCAGACCAGAGAATTGCCTTGATCCATGGGTCACAGGAAGGTCAGAACTGAGCACCAGTGTGCTTGAGTTAGGGAGTGGGGAGGGGGATCAGCACTGACGCAGCGGGCCCCAGCACATGCGGGAGTGAACAAGCAGCTTCCCAACCCACTCCATTTTTCAAGCTCTCTCCCCATGCTCTGATCATGTTTGATTATGTTTGATGGCTGCACCCAAAAAGGGTCAGAGCAGAGGGAACCACAGCCTAGAGGACAAGGAGGAGAAAGCTGCAGAGATCATCATTTGTCTAAGCAGCCCATACCTGGGTCAGCTTCTGTAGCTGCCTGACAAACCTTGAAGCTAGAGGTCCACCAAGAAAAGCCTTTCCCTTTTCTAGTGCATGGCTTGATGAATAAGAGAAGTTCCAGTGGGTTCTCATCAAAGAGCCATACTGCCAGGCCGAGGCAAAGTCTTCCTTCGGCCTCCCCTCCGCAATGCAGCACAAATGGGAGAGGGGGAAACCACTTACTGTAGTTTGGATCCTAAGTGTCCTCCAAAGCCCATGTGTCAAAGACTGAGTGACACCTTTGGGAGGTGACAGAACCTTCATGAGGTACAGCCTCATAGGAGGTCTGTCAGCCATGGAGTATGCTCTAAAAGGGGACTATGTCGACTGGCCTCTTGCTCCATTGAGCGCCTCAGCCAGAAGGAGAACTCTGCCACATTCACCCATCACAATATGCTGATTTGTTCAAAGATATGGGCCAAGTGATCAGGCACTGGAGTCTTCAAAAACCATGAGCCAAAATAAACTTTTTCTCCATATAACTTGATTGTCTTGGGTATTTGTGACAGTGACAGAAATCTGACTTGACACTCTGCGAAAGAAGGCTGCAAAGAGTTCTGCATGAGAGCAAGGGAACAGAACATCTCTCATCCTTAAGACTCTCCAAAAATGGGCCCCAGGCTATTCTAAAAGACCCAAGCTACAGCCTAAAGCCAACAGCTTGGAATACAACATTGATGTAGGAGCCATCGAGCACATCACTAGGGAGTCTCAGGGAGACTTTTTCCTGCACAGGAGGTAGAATGTCTTGAGTGCCCCCCACCCCCACCCCGCTGGCCTCTAGAGCTGCTATCTATCCATGACAGGTACATGTCATTCTCTTTGCTACCCACAACAATCATGGTAAATAGACATAATTGTCATCTTATTAGAATCAAGGTAAAGGAGCCAAACTAAATACAAGGCAATGATTTATAAGAGACATGATCAGGATTGGAAGCCACATCTAAACCCAAAGCCCATGTTCTCTTCTCCCACACCATCACTCAGTGTAAAATGATATTGCTTCAGTGGAAACTATTTCACTCTTTTGATTGTGTTGCTTTAATCACCATTCAAATCAAGAATTAGTGCTCCTTTGCCATGACCATATAAAGTAATTTAGTTTACATGAGGAGGGGTGCAAGGGGAGAAGGGAAAAATTATGGAAATGTGTTATGCATTAGACTGTACTTCTTGCCATTTGGCTCACTTTCTTTCCCAAGATGGAGAGAGTACGCAAGAAGGTACATATGGTCAAACATCACTAACATCTCTTCATCTTTCAAGGTTTATTTTAGGGATGCAGATTACAATGGTTAGATAAGTGGTTATCTGCCTATGGTCGATTTCCTCCTGCCTCGTGGATGGGTATGCAGCCTCACCATGCCATCTGGGGCCCGTTGGCCCTGGAATAGCCAGAGACTCTCCCTCTTCAGCATGCTAATGTGCCTGTACCTCAGGTATCTCACTCACAGCTGGGTGTGCACAACAGTGTGGTAGAACTCAAAGAACCAGAAGGAGCGACAGAACACTGGTTCTGACTGTTATATGACCTCCAGCCCCACTCTTCCATCTGGAAAGGATAAAGTGTGGTCTGGCTGCTGCCTGGCAGAGTTATCATCCAGAGGGCTCATGCTGGCAACACTGGGAATTCAGACCAGTTGTCACCAGCCAGGTTCTCTACCCTGGGCTTTTTCTCCCCCTGACAGGGAGCACTAAATCTAAACTATATCTCAGCTACCTGTAGCAGCTAGGCCCTCTACTGAAACATGACAGGACAAAACACAAACCAGACAATTTCTTTTTCTGAATAATAATTAAAGTCCCAGAAGCATAGGACATGACTCCCACCTAAGCATTACTGCCAGCAAGAATTTAGACACCCATAAACTTTGAAAACTCAAAACTTGAGGCTGCAATTAGGGACCATCTGAGCATTTCTCAGCAACCTTAAAACAAATAATGCCTTACATTCGTTTTCGATCACTCAAACCACATTTCTGCTCACAAATTATGCTTTTCTTGATAGCTTCCCCATGAAGACTGGCCCCATTCCTGAGGCTGAAATGAGAATCAGAAAATCATTATGCCCACCCCAAGCCTGCACTTTTATCAAAAATATCTCTTCCTCCTGACTTCCCAAGATGTACTAACAATGCCACTGCTTCTCCAGTACCTCAGTCATAGTGCTCGGGTGGAGGGCAACCACGGGCCAAGGACCAACCACCTGTGCAATCAGTGATTTGGAATTTCTGTAGGAATCTCATATGGATCTGATGGAAAAGGTGAGAACAGTGCTGAGTTAGGAACCTATCTGACTACAGACTGTAGGTAGAAGGAAAGGTAAAATATGGAGAAAAGCAGAAATGGGAAGATCCAAGGAAATAGCTGGCTGGAGTTAGAGGAAAAAGAAGAGTCATTTTAAAACTCAGAGATAAGAAACCAGGCAACCCAGGGCCATGAA